CAACCAACCAACCAACCAACCAACCAACCAACCAACCAACCAACCAACCAACCAACCAACCAACCAACCAACCAACCAACCAACCAACCAACCAAGCAAACAAAACAAAACAAGAATCAACCACAGAGGACTCACCTGTTGGGCAATTCCCCGGGAAGTTCTGTGAACTTTGGCATCTTGTCAGAGTATCTGCTAAAGACAGCCTGCAGTTGGATCACGCATGACCAGGTACAAGGTACGGAAATAAGCGGTGGTCATAACACTATATATGTCACGTGGTTGTCATCGTCAAGAGTCCATGCTGTAGAAAAAAAAACAACTGTCACAAGTCCTCAGTGCAAAGAAGCAGAAGACGAATGGCTGAACGAATTGCGACAAGATGCACAAAATTTTCATCGCCATCGGATTATTTACAAGTCGCCTGGTCGTCAAAAGCGATGTGTTGACATTTTAAGTTTTTTTTTTTTTTGTGTTATTTATTTGTTGGATGGCTCGAATGGAAATTTCTTCCCAAGTATTGAGTGTAATGACCCGCCAAAACACAGACTGAGAACACTGCTGGTTTCTGAGTTCTGACGCTGGAATGGATGCCTTGCTGAGATTCCCGCATTCTGCTGAGTTTTCTAAGTCTGTGCGTGCGTGTGTGCGTGCTTGATGGTCTGCGTGCCTGTCTGAGTGCTGGTCGGCCTGAGTGTGTGTGTGACCCGCAAGGGTACTTGCTTGTTTGGAGGCTCATAGGGCCGGTAATTACCTATGGCTGTCGTGACATTGAGGGTTGCAGCGGGGGAAAAACACTCAAGTAGCGGGGCACGAGGCGCGCGACACTTAGGGCAGAGGGAAAACACTCAAGTAGCAAGTAGGCCGATGTCGCACCCCCACCGCTTCCACGGCCAGGTTCGATGTCCCTCCCTGGGCCGAGTGCAGTGGGTTGATGGACTAGCAGGCTGTCACGCAGGATTTTGGTAGGTATAATGGAAATTATATAAAGGTGTATTCAGGAACAGTCTTTGTCACTCTCAGTCCTACAGTCGGGTAGTCAGGATTATCCCTCCCACACGGCTTAGAGTGAGGCATTCGGGTTTATCGCCTGCACCTGACCCCGTATAAAGGTTAGATTCAAGGTCACTAGAGTCCCTATTATCCAGGAGTCCTTCAAATAGCCTTGAGTGTAACCTGTAAATTGTGAAGGGGAAATAGCATACATGCATCATAGAGCAAATGACACTGAAAGAACAAGAAGACCAGAAACCAGACTCTGCAAGAGCATGACTAGAGACACAAGACTGAAGAGTAGTACACAGGGAATGCAGGAAGCAGCCATTGGAGGACTGCAGTCACTAATAAATCATAATAATGTCATAGTACATCATAGTGACTAGTGAGAGAGAGTCTCAATCAATAATGATAAGCGGTACCCCCTCGTGAGTGGGCTCGACTGTCTGGGACTCCATAACCAGTACGCGCTGATCCTCCTCGTCATTGAGAACCCTGGTTGCTATTGACTCTGGGACCACATAGCTGATATCCATGGGTGTTGCGAGATCGATCTTGCTGATGTACGCCATGCATCTAGCCATCTCCTCGTCTGCAACACTCCTGAGATAAAGCTCCTCTGCAAGGGTAATATCGACCGTAGCTCCGATCAATATCTCGATCTGTCCCCTCTTGCCAATGTAGACGTACCGAACCTCGAGGAAACGGTCTCCATAAAGAGGCTTTCGAAAAGCCTACATAGCAAAATCTGCCCCGACCAAATAGTTGTAGCCATCTCCAAGGTATGGGACTGGACCTTCCCCTCTTGGGGGTCCAACAGTCGCCTCGGCCTTAAGCTCGCCTGACATATAGAAATCAATCACCCTCGAGCAGATACCGTGTGAGAAGATATGCAATCCTCCTCAATGCCGCCCCCCGTCGTCACTGCCTTCCGGTCTCCAGTGCCCAGCGACCGCCAAACAGACTCAATCTCTGTGAGTGTCCCAGTCGAAGTAGTCGCCGAGATCAACGTCACTCACGCTACAAGGGTCCTGGTCGGACTCATTTGTCTCTGACCGATGCACGCAAGTAGTGATTGGGACCCCAAATCGGCCTATCTCTCTCCTGATCCGCTCATCCTTCTGTCTCTTTCCTTTACTGCGTGCCTCGCTGAGGGGTTTGGGATTACACCCATCAAAGTCGAAGAGTACACCCCCTGGTGCTGAAGGTACGTGAGGGAGCACCACATGTATCCAGTTGTCCCTCCAATAGCTCCCCCTGCGAAATATGTAATCAGCGATCCTGTCGTAAGTGGTGCCCTTCACCCCCTTTTCTGCTCTCTTTACCGAGTAAGTAATCACTAGCGTGTGTCTTGAGGTGGGGGACTCATTGGCCCTGATGATGAAGCTTTGAGGCCCCACATGCCGGTAGCAGAACTTCTCAACTAGCTTGCCCCACGTAGGGGCTGTCTCACAATGATGGGCCAGCTTGGTCGACGGTTGTACCCCTGCGAGTGTAAATGCTCCCTCCAATACTTGAACCTGACTGATCAGCAATCAACAACTTAATGTAAAGGCCCGCCTAAATGGGCCCGACGGATCAGCAAACTGCAACTCAATATAGGCCCGCCTGAATGGGCCCGGCTGATCAGCAAACTGCAACTCAATACAGGCCCGCCTGAATGCGCCCGACTAAATCAGCAAACTGCAACTCAACGTAGGCCCGCCTGAATCGGCAAACTGCAACTCAATGTAGGCCCGTCTGAATGGGCCCGGCTGAATCAGCAAACTACACCTCAATATAGGCCCGCGTGAATGGGCCCGCCTGAATCAGCGGCAGCAACTCAATGTAACCAATACTGTAAATGTGTCTCAGCAGCAGGTGAGGTCAAAATATGAGAACTAGGACCGCCAATATCATCACGGCGGAGGACTGATCAGCAATGCATAGATATGTGATGTTTGTAATAACCGAGGAACTGCAATGTGACGAAAAGGACTGAAATGGACAATGCGGTGAGAGTAGAATCTCGACAGACAATGTGCATTCTCATACATACAAAAGTGTTGAATAGCGCAGGGAAAACTTAGATACCAAGACTGACCTGACAAGGACTGACCTTACACACGTAGTAGCAAGTAGCGAAACAGACTGCTAGAATGTTGATAGCTAGTCCAACCGATGGTTGAACTCAGACCAAACATGCATCGTACCCCTCACCAGGTGTGAAGGAGCCTGGCGCTGCACACAGGAAGAAAGCGCCARGTCCAGACATGCATAGACGAAGAGGTAAGGATCAGRCGAAAGGAGGGAGGAAGATGGGAGTGTCGTTAACACCAAGTCTTTGTCACCGACCCCAAATAACCCCTCGTTGTCAGGTCTGAATCCCAAAAAGTCGAGTCTTGGATCCGATATCACCAAGCTCGGTATCTCTTCTCTCGCAGTCTGCAAATGCAGTGAAGTCAAGGGTTGAGAGGGAGAGAAGGAGATGGTGGAC